GCAGAGGAGGGGTGGGAAGAGGCAGCCCTTCTCCCAGGCTGGTTCTGTTTGAGCACTGCCTTGCACATTTCTTTTATTTCAGCAAACATGAAGTGAGTCTTTCATTCTATTCCCTTTCCTGCTTGTTGTCAACTACTTCAAACCAGATGGGCTCAAGAGATAAAACTATAAAGACTCAACGTCTTTATTTAGCAGGATGCCAAGTCTGCATGCCATCAAAATATCTGAGGCAAAAAAATCTGAACAGACAATGCTTACTCGAAGTGTTAAGAGCAGCCTAGATGCTTTTCCATGAACACAAACAATGCATCCACAAATCACTGAGTATCAGCAATTTTTAAAATTACCATCAGGACAAATGCCACAGCCACATTCTCTGTCATATTAAAAATTATTCCATAGGCCCAGTGCACCCACTGCCCTCTTACCTATGTCAGAACATGTTTATAGCAAGCAGTGCCATGGGGGCTTGGAAAATGTACTTTTGCATGTGTGAGATGCCAGAGCTATGGAACAGAGTAATGGCTCAGCATTTGAACATCCTCGCTAAATTTCCTGATCTGGACATAATCAGGCTCAATCAGTCCTGCCACTGGTTGGAAAGAGAGACCACTGCTGTCCAGAAAGCATCTGAGGATTTCAATGTTTTTTGCTGCCCCAGTTTATGTATACTGAGAATAAAAACTAGAAGGAAACAGCTGTAATCTCAAGTAAATTTAACAGCCTTTTTTATTCCCTTTTATTTTTTAATAATTAGCACTTCAAACTGTAACAGAGATTTATTAGAATTAATTTCTTTTTCACTGCCATGTCACTCTCCTGTGAGGAGATTTTTAATACTGCAGAGTGGTTCTCCTGCAGTACATGTGGCTACTTCAGGTCCTCAGTCCTTTCCACTGCTACCCCCTGTGGCACTGCAGCTTCTGGTTTTATGACTCTTCACAGCACAGCAATAAATACACTCTCCTGTGGGTGAACACAGGCTTATTTAGAGGTGTAGATTGTGGTCTACAGGATTTCCTGGTGTACTGACACCTTTAGAAAAGGATGCCAGGGAAGTCAAAGCAAATCTGAGACCAAGGTAAGTTGGTCTATGAGTTTGAGAGGCCAGAGCTGTCACTGCATGGTTCCACCAGGTACTCCTGCTGCCATCCTTGTCCCTCTCCCATGGACAATCTGGCCACTGCTGGTGGTTTGCTCCAAGGCCCTTCATACCTTCCACAGTCTTCCTCTCACCTAACTCAGAGGGACAAGTTTCTCCTTTGTTTTGATTTAACCCCTCACTTCTTCTTTCTCTTCCTCTCACAAACCAAACTCCAAATCAAATTCCTCTGAGGTCAGAATAAAGCAGTACACAGCACTGCTGATAGGAGGTACAGCTGTGGTTCAGACCACTAAATCAGGTGAGCAAGACTTTCCCAACTCAGAGATTATATTTTCATTTAATTTGATACTGTGAGATCCTTACATGAATTGCCATCTCCCCCCCAGTATGATCTTAATTCTGGATAGCTTCCTTCACATTAAAAAAGAAACCTCCAGGATGCTCCAGAAGAGTAGGACATAGACAAACACAGCCAAGTTTACTTGGAAAAGCTATAGCAGGGGGAGCCAGGCTGGGATTTCAGAATATTCTGCATTAGCAGAACCCCCCTGCCTTTCCCCTTAGTCATGGCTGTCACTTTCCTGGTAGCACAATGGTCATGCTTAGACATCAAACTTGGTGTGTCAACGCTGCCGTAACATTGCCCAGCATTAATCCAGGCAGTCATGTGCCATGTTTTATGTAATGATCCACACTTTCACAGCACAGCCAGAAAAGGAAACACATTGATTTAGCACTCAGTAATCCTTGTTTAATCCCCAGTCCTTTGGTTTACATCACTAACATGGCTCCTGCAGTAGTCAGTGTTCTTTGTTCTTGGCAGACTGAATTAAAGGAAAGATTTATTAATTTGCAAGTTGGCTTTGTAGATGCATCTTAAATATGCTAAAAAGAAAAGCAGCCCAGAAGCCAGTATTGGCTTAACTATAAAAATCTGCTCTTTTAGACTCAAACCTTTGCAACAGTTCAAGTCAAGCTGCAGAGTAATTTTTTGGCTTGCTGTAGCAATTGCATTCTAAAGGACTAAATTTAACAACTGTCTCATTACATATCCCCAGCTTACTTCCTTTTTCACTCATTACTACAAACACAATCTCATCTTTTCTTGCTCATCTACACTAAGGACTGCAGTGCTTTATGGCTCATGTACTGGTAAGAGAAAGGAGTTTTAACCAATGGATTCATTTGCAAATAATCTGAAGAGGGTCAGAGATCCCATTCATTCAAGTGGTGATAAATATTCCAGGTAATTGCTGCACAAATGCTGGTGTTTGGGATTTATTTCTATTACTTTATGAATGCTGGTTGCTTTCTTCCCTCTCATGGTGCCAAAGACAGTGATTCTTGGGAGGAAGCCTTTTGTAATAATGTAGCTGTCATCACCTTCACTCCTGAATCCTCTAGGCCAGGTACAGGCTAGCCCTGTTCCTTTCTGGCAGGTGAGATTTCAGAGCTAACTCCAGCACCTTAAGGTGGCTCCTTGCTCACAACCTTCTGCTAGCAAGCCAGTGGAAATCTTGAGTGACAACCATGTTCATGGCACAATTGTAATTTTTTTTTTAAATTAAAAAAGTTAATTTCTTAGATGCAATCAGACATCTGTATTTTACAGTTATAGTTATAATCAGACAATTGTGTTTTACAGCCTATATTGACACAGACTGTCTTTCCTGTTGGAAACCATTCTTCTGTGGGGAAGTCCAGGTTAATTCCTTAGGCAAATAAACTGTTAGAAGACTGTAATTCACAATCAAACTATGGCATTTAGGCTCAACTCTAAATCAAACTAGTGTAGTCTGGTTGCTCATTTCAAGGAAACTATAATGTGAAAGAAAAATCTGTTTTCTGGGTGTTTAGATAAAATCAGTAGTGATATGAAGTGTTAATGAATTAATTGTATTGTGAAAAGGCATGACATGGATAGTGCCTTGGTAATGGGAAGTAAAGGATGGGTCTGTTCCTGCAAGCAGCCCTGTAACCTGTGTCCTTCCTCCTGAAGCTGATAAAACTCTCACCTGTGTGTCTGAGATGCAGTTCATGTCCTCATTTTCAATTTGTACTTGCATGACTAAGTTTGTTTTTAAATCTACCTAATCAGACAAACATAAATATTTAACTCTCAGGAAAAGGTAGTAATTTAAAGCACCCAGTAATCTTTAAAGTATCTTCCAAAAGACCCATTTGTAAATCTAAACATCCCTTATGGGTCTCCCTAATTACTTTAGATACAGATGTTGACAGTAAATGGCAATTTTCAGAGAAAATATACTCAGTAACTCCTAACTTTCAGCCTCTGATCTAATAATGCTCTCAATAAGGCATGGAGTATTAATCCTTCTTTCCAGAGGGTTGCCACCGTGCCAACACCAGAATATTTGCATCAAAAATTATTTCTTACATTAACCATTTGCCCAAGATGGGCGAGCCCTGGATTTCTTTCCCTGCTGGATGAGCATTAAACCTACAGCTCACTTCTGTGGAAACTGCCCAACAGTGCAGGCTGCTGTTTGCTGCCATGAGGAGGAATGCTGGCACCCTCTGGGCCACATGTGTGCTGTTGTACCACACAGCACAGGCAAAAGGAAATCTCTGTGCAGACTCCCTAGGACAGGCCCCCAAACCACATGCAACAACATATTCTCCATTTATTTATTTCATTGTTTCTTTGTGCCAATTCTGACCTCCTTTGAGAAAGGGGAAAAAGAGCAAAAGAAAAGGTTTCTCCCAGCAGCAGGTTTGTGGAAGGTGACTGCATCTTGTTCCACAAGGCTGAGGCTGGGGCTGCTTGTAGAGTGGGGGCAGCTCCTCTTCTGTGTGGGAGGTGGATGATGGTGGAGAAGTGCAACCCTGTCTGGTAGCTGTAATGAACACCATCACCTCCCCTTGACTTGGGATCACTCAAAATTAGGCTTTAACTTTCAACTGCAATGTGATCCTCCATGCAGCTCCTGAATAGTAAAGAAATAATCAAAGAACTGCATTATTTAAAGTGTCACCACACTCTAAAATGTGTAAGGCCACATTTTACTTAGAAAAGCCTGGCAACAGTATCCTGGTTCTGTGTTTTAATGTAAAGAACATCAGGCTGGGTGCTTAAGGCTTTCAGTCCAGCAATATTCTCTGTCTGCAAGGCACAGCTGGATAACAGACCCAAACCTTAATTTGCATGTGTGTTTTTCCTGAAATAATTTTCAAAGTCTTTGATGTTGCTGTTCACTTTTGGTCACTTTTTCTTTGATTTCCATCTCTCTACGGAGCAGAAACAATTATTTCCAATCAAGTATCAACAGTGTTCAGCCTGGACTCCGTTGTCACTGCAGCTTTGTGACAGAATCCAGCAGTACCCTGGCTCCCAGCACACTGGTGTGTGTCTAATACGCTTTAGAAGGATGCAGATGCTGCTTTGTGAGGCAAACAACAAAACTTTCATGAATGAATTTCAGTTTCCATGACGGTAGAGATGACAAGTTAATGGAACCATTTGCACTGTGTGGATAAGGATTTACCCATGTGATTCCCCTCAATGTTCATGGGAGCTGTGCAGCTGAATCCCCGACTTTCCACGCTGAAACTCAGCCCCGACTCTCCAAGGAGAAGGGCGCTAATTGGATTGTCGAGTTTAAATCCTTCAGCTCATCAGTCTATGGAAAGGATTTAGCACTGGCTCTGTAAAAGGCTTTACACAGCTTTGCAGTGCAATGTTGGGGAAGTTTTTTTTCCTTTCTTTCTTGTGATTAATTGTGAGGCTTGAGGTGACAGGAGACATAATGAAATTCATAAATGCCGAAGGCCATCCCTAGTCACATTCCTGGCTGTTGGTTTAAGTTAGAAACTGACAGAAGTGTGAACAAATCAAGGGTGTTCTGATAGCCTTTCAGTTACAGGGAAGAAAAAGTAACTGACAATGAGAAACCACTGGAGGTGGTTTAATGGGTATAAATTTTCAAGGAAGAGTGATGTTTTACACTGATTCAGATTCTTGGATACATAAATGACTTACAAACAGACATATTCTGCCCCCACTGCAGTTTGAGGGATTCCAGTCCATTTTTACAAAAGATATTGGCACAAGTTATGTCAGCGACCTGCCAAAGGAAAGGTGTTGCAAAACCTGTAGCAGAACCCAAAGCAACTTTGGTCTTTGTGACTGGCCTTGTTCTGCTTGTTATGAATTTTAAAAATACACTTTCTTCTATGGAAGAAAAAATTTATAGCTTAAACAAGCAGCATAAGAATTAACCTAGGACTTTCACTTCAGATTCTACCCCTTCCCCACATGCATGTTGGAATTGCAGTGCTAGGAATTGCTTCACCCATCCTGTTTTCCTAGTCCATGGCAGTGCAGGATGTGTCATGTCTGAGCATAGATGGACCAGACACTGATGCGCTGATCTCTGGAGCCGGCTGCCAGCAGTCTGTCCTGGGCCTTGCTGTGGTCTGAGAAGGACACGCAGTGGGCGGTTGCTGTGTGATAGTCCAGCACTGCCAAGGGCTTCAGCTTTTTCCACCCAAAGATCCTGATGCGATGATCCCACCCTGCTGTTGCCAAAATCTTCTTGTCTGGCCGGATGGTGATATCAGATATGCCAGCGTTGACGAGTTCGTGTGTTTTGTAAACCTTTGGGGAAAAGTTACAAATGAGCTCAAGTTGTTCAAAACAGAAGAAAAAGGAATCTTTCGGTGTTTTAGCAGGTGCTGTGCCCACCCAACACACCAGTGTCACGCAGGGAGCGTGGAGCTTTTCACATGTGGATGGTGCTTGGTGAGAGCAACAATAGACAGAGACAGAAAACACCTTAAAACTTGAGCCTCCCACTTCCAGAGCAATTTTCATAAAATAAACCAAACTCTTCTATGCTTTTAGTTTGTTTTGCATTTAAAGCTATATATATATTCTGTCACAAGTGAAGCTCTGAATTGAGGTTTTGAGTACAGCTTTGCCCTTTTCTTCTAGCTATTCTTGTATGAGCTACAATGTTCAGAGCTAAGTCCATATATTTTCCCTGCTTCTTTGCAGAAGAATTCCCAGGCTGAGACCCTTCTGAGCTGATGCTTAAGCTACCTGCTACTCGTTTCTACTACTGTGGCCCCTCACAAAACCCCCAATAAGCTGTTGTAGCATTTACCTCAGTCTTGAGAAAGGAATGCTTCCAGGAATTGGGTTACAGTGTCAGGAAGTCTGTATTTCTAGTATTCCTTCCCAAGAGACTTCTATTTACACCAAATCCAAGGAGAGGATTATGGCCAAGTTATTGATTTCAGTCTTGGAAGCCTTGTGTTACTGTTTGGAGACTACTGGGGCACAGAGGGGCACAATTCAATTGGGAGGCATTTGGCTTCCTTCAGAAGGCACTGGGGCTGCACAGGACTTAGCCCCTGGAACGAAAAGTTTTTGCTTCACTGACATGAGTTTCTTAAGGCACAAAGCTCAAAATAAGACACCTTTGCTGTTCTCACCTCAGGTAACTTGTCTGAAACACCTGTGAAACATGCACACAAGAGTGTGTGTTTGTACTGGAACAGCTCAGCTTCTGTCAAAATGGGGAAAACACCTTTGGCTTATAAAGCTGGCCCTGAACTGCTGTTATTTATAAGTACTATTGGAAACAACACATTAATGCCACTCTCTCCTTAAGCCTGAGTCTGTAGCTATCCTGTACCAAAGCTTAATATCATCCAGTGCCTGTTTAATTCACTGTGTGGTGTTTACTGTTTGTCTGAGGCAGGAAGGGACTGACAAGTACATCACACCTGAGGAGCTTTCCTTGAAGGACATTCCACGATGCATACCTAGTACAGGGTTATAAAGACATATTATTGCAGGTAATTTTAACCTTTATACTGGATGTAGAAAACTCCAGAAATGGTCAAGGTTGGTTTCAGATGCAGCTGAACACATCTTGGAACCTTACAGGCACAAAGCCACAAGCAATTATTTTTCAGCTATATAAGAACTACCCAGCTCCCTACTCAAACAGCAAGAGCTGTGCAGTTTGGGAAGACAAAAGGCTGAATGAAACTTGACATGCTTCTTACATGCTCTGTACAATTCTTTTTCAAAGACAACCTGAAGAATGTGTCTACAATGAATTCAGAGCAGAGGACAGCAAGTTCTGCTCAAGCCTAATGAGAAATAGCAGGCTATATGGGGGCCTCTTGGTGGGGCTGTGCTTTTTGTTAGTCCATGTGCTCCAAACTCCCCAGGGTAGGCCTAATGCAGCATGGCCTCCATGGAATTTTTGTTGGTGTAAATGTCCTGGCAAGGGAAGGGATTCCTTACATCACCAGCCTGGCACATGGAGGATGGGTCTTACTCTGTAACTGAGACTATTGGCTCATGGCTATAACCAGTGCCAGGCATGGTGCTCCCATCATTCATGTCAATTATGTGGGCAAGATCCATACAGCACAATCAGGGCAACTGGAGAAATGGCATGTCCTCAGCAAGCTCCAACTTGAAAAGGAAGTCTGTCATGGTGATGCCTGTTGGCTATGGAACATGAGGGAACAGTGGGCATTTGTGCATGATGTGCAAATAAAAGAGTGAGAGAGAAAAACAACACAAAGGAGGAAACTTGCTCAAGGTGTATGCAGCCAGGTGTAATCCTACTGCCAGCATTTGTGCCATCCCAGGACCTACTACAGTAAGTCACTAACTACAGCAGTCCAATACCAACACAATTTCCTAACCAGAAAACCAGCTTGTAATTAAGAAAACAAAGAGGTAAAAACAGGTGAGCTGCTTTCAGCCAGTCACAATCAAGGACACTTGCATCTACAGCCAGAGCATGTCTTTAAGCCTTCTGCTTATTAGGAAAATAACCAAAATAGCAGCAGACTAAGTTTCAGCATCTGGGGGAAAAGCCTCAGCAATCAAACCAACAAAACTTACAGTACAGCTTACAGGACTTTTTCTCTTGTCATATACAAAGAAGATTCTGTGGTTATCAGATTCTTAGTTCTGCTTTGTTTACTCACCTGCAGAAGCTGTTTACCTCCTACATTCTACCACAAACATCATCACATAATTACACTATCTCATCCAAATCAGAAGGCTCATAACCAATCCTATAATTTGCTGACAGTGATGAATTCAGCAACTTTCCTGTAGGAGACAATACAAACTTTCCTCATAGCAATAAACTCTGCAGTTCCCTTCATCATCTATTCATTGCCACACTGGAACACTGCCACTTAAAACAGAGCTCAGTACCATCATTGCATCATTCCCTCTCCAACAGCAGATATCTGTGCACCACAGTTACTTATTAAAACCTTTTAGAATAAAAATAATGTGCCACTGAGTGGCTTTCCAACATCTACCATTACCTCAGGTACCTGGAATGTCAGGGAAAAAAAATCCCCATCTGGTTTATATTATTAATGCAATAGTGGAAAAAAACTTAATCTATGTCTTTGACAATCTCTAGTGCTCATATGAAAGATGCATTTTTTTAGGGCATTCATGCTCCCATGAAGCACAGGAGCATGGCTTGTAGCTTATAATACTTGGCATTTAAATTTCTTCTGAGGCAACCTTCTGTCCCTCAGTGTGAGGTGCTGAAGGTGTAGCTAATCTTACGTCCCCTGGGAATGGGAATATCTTGTGAAAAACGATACTTGCAATATTTCAGGTGAACAATTGTTTCTCCTGCAAGTTGTACCTGTAGCCCTGCATACCACTAACTCCTGAGTGAAATGTGCTGTAAAGAGCAGTATTTTCTTTTATTTTAGGAAGAAAGTTTTTTTAATATGCAAGAACAGCTTTCTCTCTACCACCAGAGTATTTGAAAATTTAAGAAGCCTGTCATGATGTCACATTTCTGTCACCTTTACCTTAGAGAATGAGTCTCAATACCAAGTTTCTTACTGGGATTGCTCACCTTCCATCCCCTTGTCTGAGTTAAGGACACCTGGTGCAGATGGTGACAAGCAGGGGGAGGCTGGGCAAGGGCAGGGCAAACGTCCAATAAACCAGCAAACCCAAACTGAGACAATTGTGTATCAGACACCTTCACTACTCAATCAGAGTGCAGAGTGCCTCTTTCATGTTGTGTTGTATTGTGTATTAGGGTTCAGCCACCTCCTCAGGGAGTGCCATGCCCTCCAAACTTCACTGGGATTGGATGTGTTTACCCTGTCACCCCAGAAATGCAGGTGCTGTGGTGATGCCTCACAGATTCCACACCTTTACAGTGTCCCCAGGTGATGAGTTAACACAGGATGTCCCAGCATGTGCTTTTCTTCCTGTAGCACCATTCAGAAAACAGCATCAACCTGCTGTACTACTTAAAAAAAAAACCCTCCATAAAAGCTGCAAGGCGGAACAGCAATTATTGTTCTCCCTTGAACTGGTGTATCCAGGAGATTCTTCTCAAGGATGACATGGGCACACAGGGGCTGATTCAGGCCCTCTCCATTGTTCATGGGACAGCTGCCACTTTAAAAAGGTTAAAGCACCCAGCAGTGGAGACTGTGCATGGGCAGTTTTAATTTTCAGAGCCTTCTTGCACTTTATTTCCACACCTACATTTCCAGATCATACTTAACGCCTTGGCACTGTTGGAACACTTGCTAAAGTTGTCTAGATGAAAGCAGTATTTATGGCCATTCCCTAGCACAGCCTGAGCTGGGATTACACAACCTCTTTCTAACCCAGCCATTCACAGTAGCACAGCTCAGACTTGAACTGGGGCAGCCAACTGCCTGATTTTGTGTCTCTGGCTGGGCCCTGGAGGTGCCAAACGAAGCTGGGTGCCTAAACCTCATCTCCTCTTGGTGCTAGCTGGGCTACTCCTACTCTTTCTGTTTGAGAAGTATTTAATGGAATATTTCTGTCTTTCCCACAGTGGAAGGCTCGTTATAGCCATTCAAGCAGAACCTTTGGAAAAGCAATCCTTTGTTTCTCATTTTTATAACTCATTTATAATGTTTAGGACATTCCGAGAGCTGGATACTACCAATGTGATAAATGAAGATACAGAGGCAATGGCTTGAGTAATGCTAGGCCTGTGTGACTGTTGCAACTTTGGTAAAACCAGAAACATGTGAGAGAGGGTTTTTTCCTTTTTTTTAAAATCCTCACCATCTTTTGCTAAGTCTAGTCACATAGCACAGACATTCTAACCAGTCTGTGATTAATTAGCTAGAGATCTGCAACAACTCCTCTTCATGACTAAATATTTTTTTAGTCTATCAAACTGTTAGTGCAAAGTGGGATAAATGACACTAGAGGGCCAGTGATCCTGACCTGGAGGTTCTGTTGCTCATTGAGGCTCCAGATGCTAAGCACCTTTTCAGATGAGCCTGAGATCCCCTTGGCCTTCTCCGAGTCAAAGTCAAGGCTCATCACTGGCTCCTGGTGGCAAATGAGTCGGCTCAACGCTTTTCCCATTGACACATTCCACAGGACAACTGATCCATCTTCATAGCCAGCCAGAAGCACAGGTTGTGAACCACAGCTGAGCTGATTAACGAAAAATGAAATTGTTTGAGAAGTAAATAGTCTGTTAAGAAAATTACCATACCTGTGTAGGTTTTAGTCCAAGCACCAAGAGAATAAATTAAAATGCTGACTGGTGAAAAGTGAAGTGAAAAGAAGTTTAGGTATCTGAATGTCAAATTTTGATATTCCATCCACTTACAGAAAGCATTACTAGGTAATATGCACTTACAGGTTTTATATCTACATATGAAATTCTAAATGTTATATATATTATACATATTTAACATACACATACATATATATACACACACATATAGAGGGAGAAAATTTCTCTCTGAAAATCCAAACTATTGCTCTCTATAACAACTGAAAAGAACCTGACTGAAATTTTCAGGAGCTTTACTTCATGGTCTGAACTTTGTTTGCACTTCATAGAAAAAATTCCACGGAGCAGCTGAGTAGTCCCAAGCAATACAAGCCTGTGTGGGCACTGAGAAGTGCCATGCTCAGGTATTCCAGCTCCACACTGCCAGGTGCAGGGCTGCCCAGAGGGATTGCCTGCCCAAGTACCCCACAGTGCCTGAAGGCAAACACTGAACCTCCCAGCAGGAACTGCTGGGTCAGTCACCAAGGGGTTAATGGGCGCCCGAGTCCCACTGTAACCAACTGAAAGCTCTTTTGATTAATGATGTCACAGGCCAAAGGGCAGGGCACCCTGGGCAGACACCTAATTTATTTAAGCCTCTGAAATAACTCAAAGAAGGGAACATTACTGGATTACATGTCACACTTAAGGAAAATATTCATCATTGCTCCAGCCAAAAGACTAATGATCTGTAAGCAGTACCTGGTTACGAGAGTGAAGATGCAAATCCCCAGTGGAAAGCAACTAAAACAACAGCATCTGTTAATGCCAGTTGTTTCTTTAATAGGAGAAGAAATATCAAAATAGACATTGGGATTGTTACCGCCTCATGTAGGCACATCTAAGAAATGTATCCAGCAGGATATTCAGATATTTCCAAACACTGTCTCCTCCTACAGGATTTGTTTGCTCAGTATACAATTAAGATAAAGGGCATAAAGAATTAATTTTTACCAGTATCACATTATTGAATGAGGTCAAACTCATTGGCTGTCAGTGTCATGGTACAGACCTGTAGTGGCCAAAGGCTCACTGCCTCTACTAATGGTGCAGCCTGTTCTAGCACTGGTTATTCCCTGCTCTGGGGGAAGTTAAACTAACAAGAGATGGGTGGTCTGAGTAACACAACTTCTGAGTACCAGCCTCATGTGCTTCCTCGGCCTTACTCAGCCTAGAAAAGTGTTTGAGGAATAGAGCTCAATGAGCAGGGAACAACATTCTCCTTAAAAGAAGGAAACCAAGGGGAAATCCTTGTAAATTTAGGAAATCCCCTATATCATCCTTCTGAACAGGTGTGTCCACACCTGGGATCTTGGAGGAGCTCTGGGAGGGGCCTCCTTCCTTCCTTCAAGATCCTTTTTCCTTTGAAAAGGCAGGGAGCATGCTCTGGCTAGAAAGGCCCATAAGGCAGATTTCTCACAGTGCCCAGAATTATGAACAATTTTTCTGTCAAAATTTTGATTTGCTAAAATAATATAACTTCAGAGCAATGAATACCTTGATTCATACATTGCGTCAGATACGTGTGAATGAATGTTAACTCATCAGGTATTTTGGATGAAGAATATCTGCTTTTGGATACCAGATAGCAAAAATGTTTTAAAAAAATCTGAATGAGCATTCCAGATTTTATTTGTACTTAATAAAGGGTAAAATCTTCAAAGCAAAACAAAGTATTTAATAGGCACTTTTAAGTTTAAAGAAAGCCTCCAGTTTAAGCATAAAAATCCCCCACAATTATTTGTGCTGCTCTTCTGTGAGCACAAGACTCCCTCAGAGCTGGGCTGTCACAGAAGTTGTGGCTGTCATCAGGCAGTGAAACACGTCAGCTCCTCTCCCTGCTCCAAGTGGGATTGTGGCTCCCACAGGAGCTGCTCACCCTTGTGCAGATGGCAGAGACAGGTGAGTGCTCAGCATTGTGGGAATGCCAAGCAAAACCCTTTCTTTTCTTCTGCTGTGGGGATTGCACTTTAGATGTGAAAAACAGTAATTTGCAAGTGAGATCTACAATTGGTATGTTTTAAAACCCAAGTCCTGTTTCCTATGAAATGTAGGTCTCCCACACTACTTCTTCTTAACTTCCCTAACCATATGAAGTGTAATATTTCAATGGGTACATGAACTAAAACAATAAAAGTTATTGAAAGATCAGTGGAGCTCTTGGTCTGAGCCTGGACTCACCAAGCAGTGCTTCACAAGAGCCTATTTATTTCAATTCCCAATAACAGACACTGCTGGAGAGAAGTCTCACCATTCATGTTCTGTTTCAGTAGAAAAATTAAATTATAAATCATTGCTCTTCCTAAGCAGAACATTTTGTTGTTGCATTTGGATAATTGTCAAGGAAGGAAGAAAAGGTGATCTGCTGTCAACTCAACAGGAATAATTGCAATAGTTTATATAAAGTAATAACTCGGCATTTCCAGTTTCGACATGTATTATTCTTGTTGAATTATTTTGTTTGCACCATTATGCAATATGATGCCTTCCCCAAGGAGTGCAAAAAATTTAAGGGAAGACTATCCTTACTCCTACAAATCCTACTCCACCCAATTAGTAATAGCAGGAAGGTGTGAAACTGAAGGGACAATGTATTTAAGAACATGAATCTTCAAAAGAAAGTGAATGAACTAATATCTTTAAGGACAAACGTAGAAAAATAAGGGGAGGAAAGTGCTCAAAAGAACAAAATAAGTAACTGCAAGATTTTTGACTGCTTAGGAGAAGCCAGTGAGGCTTAATCTACAAGCCTAACCTCAGCTGCCTTCTGCTCTGTAGTAAAGTTTCTCATTCACACTGCTGCTGGGGAAGTTTGTTGTTTACCTGAATTGCAGAAAAAGATGATGGTACCTGGCTGCAGCCCCCAAACTCTCATTGGCCAACCACCCCAAGCACTCTTCCTTCAGACCTTTATGGGGCTCTCCTTGTCAGCTTCTGTTTCAACTTGTTAATTTACTGTGCCATAAGCAACATCAAAAAGTCTCTTAGGCAACCCCTGAGTGCTGGGCTGGGAGCGCTCATCTCCTGGGTATGTCTGCATTGCCCAACAGGGCCTGTACAAAGGAATCCTGGAGGGCTCTGTTCAGGAAGGGCTGCAGCTGGGTGAGCTCGTGTGCTCCTGCTTTATGGTTACAGGGTTACTCACAGAGCCACTTCCAGTGCAACCACAGAACACAATGCAGAGCATCACTTTGGTGCACCACATGCAATTATTTCCCTAAGGGTATCCTCTTCCTAAGTTGCACATATTTGTAGAAGAGCAAATACAGCTGTGAGACTCTAAGAGATTATCTATATTTGCCTGGTGCAGTCTAGGAAGTTATGGTGAGTTCTCAGAGTCAGAATCTGAATGGAATAATTTAGCTCTCCCAGTTCCCAGTCCTCTGCTTTATCCCCACTGGCAACAAAATTAAAAACTATATAAAATTAAGACTCTGCACCTGCTCTGCTTCCTAGAGGAATATCAATATTAATGCATGTAGAAAATATGGCAAGACAGAGGACTTCTTATACAGGCAAGAAAAATTTTCAACACTGAACATTTCCACAGTTATCATCATCTTATTAAAAAATGGAGGAGACAGAAAGACCCATTCATTTCGTCAGGCACTGAACATTGATTGCATTTTTAGGAGGAACTTTGTTTAACAAAAGCCTAATCAGCCTATTTAATTTCCTCTTATTTTTTTCCCTAGTTTTTAATTACAGCATGGAACTTCAACTGTGGCCTCTCTTGGCTTTTGTCTGAAGTCAGCAACTGAATTTCTGTAGATTTCAGTCAGTTCAGGATCTTGGGTGAAGACACTGAGGCCTCACTTTGATTGATAATATTTTCAACTGAAACCAACACAAATGTTCCAATGAGCTTGCAGGAATTACACCCCTGGCATTTGCTCAGTTGGTCCTGTAGATCTGTAGCAGTGTGTTGTCAGGGGCTTACATGGGAATCAGCTTTGCCACCAATTCTCTGGAGATTTCAAGCCAATCACCTGAACTCCTTCCTCCCTCTATTGCCACCTTTTTGTATTACTTGTGTTCACTGTTGGCAGCCCATAAACATTATTTAGTAAATATTTTGCAAATGTGTGGTTTTTTCACTAATTACTGTTATTTACTTTTTTGTCTGTAGTTAGTACCACCATAAATATTTTCTTCCTATTGTATGTCTGGAATAGAAACGTTCAGAGTGTTCCCTCATCCTGAGGGCACTGAAGTGAATGGAATCTGCCATTAAAACCACTGTTTTTAAGCAACCCAAACATTTCTCATCAGTCTTAATGCAGTGAGAAAACCATATCAAACAACTGGCTTTGGTAAGTCACTCATTTTCCTCTTGATTGATGCAAAAACTGTATCTATCCTAAGGATACAAAGCTTTCCTTGAGCATTTGCAAATCTTCCATTAAAGCTTGGAAAGCTCTGAAAGTTACATTAAGGATGTTCACAAATCTTTCCCCCCTTTAATAGTATAATTACTTGATTGGTTTGATTATAAATCAAAATCCAAGTGAAGAAAGATTCATGTGCTTCATATAAAATGAATCACAGGGAAAACATTTCACAATTAGCAGGCGCTCTTGCCTTACCTGCCATAACTTCAGACACATGGGCATGCCCAGCTTGGCACCCACCTCTGGTTTCAAGGTACAGACTGACGTCTTGGATGGCAGCTCCAAAATCTGAACCTGACATCAGGAAAACAAGAGGAGTTGGTCAGGCTCCAGGTCAAAATTCTGTTGTTAAAAACACAAGTCTTTTAAGGTGATTAAGGTTAGTATAAGCTCTTCCAGTAAAAACTGTCTGGAGGAAACGGAGGAATGCATGCTAAGCTGGAGCTGTAAGGGGAATCTACAGCTACCTAAAGAAGTGCATTGTTTTAGGAAAGACCAGACAGAACTGCTAGAGTGAACACCTCCTCTTCTTCCACTCTTCTATTTAATTACAGCCTTCTTTTCAAACAGTGGATGCCATTGTACATACAACAGGTAATACTGCAGACTGCTTCATCTGAACACACCCCCCTGCTTTCTTTCTCCTTTTTCCAGCTCTGTTGCTAATTTTTTGGCTGTATTCACCTGTGAACACTTGCATTCTCTCCTCTGTGCTGCTGTGGTAACACAGAGCTTGCATGGAAATACAGACAGTGCATACATGCCAAGGGGATTTTTTATTTACTGCTGACTGCAGTAACAAATTGTAACCCCGCAATCACCGGCTAAGGCCGGCTGCAGCAGCCTCTGCACACAGGTATTCCTAACACAGCACTGTCAGACCCTGTCTAAAGCAGGGTCAGAAAATGCTCTGTTAAACACCTGCTCTCTCTACAGAGCAGCTTCCATTGTTGCTTGCTCCAATGGTAATGAATCATGGACCTGGTTTGTGTGGTTTTGATTTTTCTTTTTTTTTTGAACATTGGGCAAGTTGTTCCTCTGCCAAGGAAGTAGCTCATTTCCACCTCAGGATGCTGGCAGGCAAGATCAGGGGAGTCTGCCTTTTTAGTTTGGTACTGGAAGATTTTGAGACTCTTGATTGACACAGCAGTGCCTCAGCTCTGGGCTGGTTCTCAAGCCTGGAACTCTAGAGAAACAGAAGCTCTTGGATATCAAAAACCTGCCACCAGGAATGTTGCTGTTTCTCACGTTCATACTTAATCAACAAGGTGATCTTTTCTTCTAATTAAATAAACAATGGTCTGCATTATGTGGTAAAATTAAACTACTTGAAACATTTGATAAATCCAGCATCACCAGCCACTCTAGGCTCTTCCAGAATGTGCAAGAGCCCAACAGCGCTGTTGGACGGCCCCAGTTGTGTGAATTTCCTTAAGCATCTGAGATGAGGTATTACACAAATATGGCTCCTCTGGGAACCATCCATCAAGACCACAGCAGCTGCAATGGCTTTCTAATCCCATACCTTTAGTTCAAAGCTTGCCAGAACATCTTCCTATTTCTAGAGGCTGTCAGCCAGCCTGCCAAAAGCCAGCTGCACTCTAAGACTGTGAGCAGAGTGTATTGCACATAACATACAGAACACTTTGGAAAGCCACTGAGCAATAGAGCAGGAAACTGTTTTCCAGATTTGAGGAATAGTGACTACAGTCAAGAGCCATCTAGTCTGCAGACCAAACCTGGGAACAGACCAAAGTCTGATCAGCTGGGAATTCTGGTTCTTTGGAGCTTCACTCATAACAAAAAATGCTTTTCTCTTGTCAACTTTCTTGCTATCAACATAATGACCAAGTTAGCTGTGGCAGGAAACAGGCTATAAATATGAAGATGACCTGCCCTCATCTTGCCTCTTTCATCACTGTCTCTCCAAAGGGCATTGCCTCCTAGGCAAGACCAAAACTGCAACTTTTATGTAATAAAGAAGGGTAAGTGTGCTGTGATAAATTCACGTCTGCAGGTTAAAAGAAAAAAACAAACCTTCTTTGCTTTACCTTGACTAAAAACAGATGAACTGGTACAAGGGCTTCAGTTGGGCTTGCAAAGACCAAAGAAAAACAATGAGAAAAGCTTGTGCAGAATGCAGGCAGGCATGACCTGCTGCCTGAGCTGGATTGACAGTTCCAGAGACTGTCTGCGTTAAAGGCAACTGAGCCTTAGAAATAAATACTATTTCACATATTTTGACAACTGTAACCTAAAACTTGAAGTTCCGTGTTTATACTGGTTTTGCTTAATAGGAGAAAGATTTGCCTTTGCCTGAGGTTAATAGTGTTCCTGGGTGGCTAAAACTGGCCACAAGGAAACACACCCTTTCTCTTTTTCACATTAATAAAGCTTTTAACATGTTTCTGGCAAATTTGCAAGAAAAGTGCATGTAACTCATAATTGGTGATTTAAATGCAATCATGAACAAATAAATGCCTGTTCAGATCTCATTATTTATGGACTGAACCTCCTTCAAGACAAAATTAGTCTTTTTTTGGACACCAGCCAAGCATAAACACTTATTAAGTCTTAATTTTAATCATAAGCTGCAAATGTACTGCGTCTCACACAGTGCTGCCTGTTTGGAAGCACTATATATTATGGGAGCTTATGTGAATTTATTGAAACGTGACACAGTTCTAATGCAAAGGTTCACACACAGAGTGGAACTCTTCTACCTCAGGAGATTGCAAATCATTGTCCTCTTGCAGGGCCCAAGCAAACAAATGAGGATAAAACAGAGATGAGTTGTAAGCGACACCAGGGTAAACGTCTTCTGTTTGGGTCAGTTGATTATTTAATTCTTCATCAGCGGGACTTCTCCAGCTGACACGAGAATGCACTTGTCAATTTTGTTTAACTTAAGTATTATTGAGCACTGCTTTAAAATGGAGGGAGTTCTTTGTTTGATCAGAACAAGGTATGGGACTGCACCAGTAAATTCAACCATACATGTTGTATTTACTGGTGCAGTGTCTGTGTCTGCAGGCATATCTGGTTCTGGAAAAGGGTGAACATTCTGGCTGTGAGTCAACAAAGTACTTAGATATGTGCTTAACTTCCGTATAATAAAAATATCACATTTTCTTGCAATACAGGCACTTATTACTTCATGTATCAAATATGCAAATTTCAGTTTCAAGATACACAACCTATAGTCCAGAAAAGCATGTGAACTTTTATGCTCGTCAGCAATTTGCATTTAGCTACTGTATTTCATTTCATATTTATGCCACTTTTTTCTTCTTTCAGAATTTTGGTATTTTGATGTCAAGTATTTGGTATTATTTTTGTGTGATGTCCTCAAACAGTCTGTAGTAGAAAACAAAACTGTAATTTTAACAAAGCAGAAATGGACATTGCCAGCAAAGCTGTCAGGCAGTGAGTGCTGCAATAGTGGCATTAGATGTGGACTTGGCCAGCAGGAACTGAAACGGACCCTGCAATTATCTCACACAGAGCAAACCTCTGGCCAGTAATAGTAATTCAGCTATTTCCAGCCCCAGTTCCAGGTAAGGAATTAGCCTGGGGTGAAAGACCACGTATTGCATTACAAATCACCTGCACCTCCCCTCTTCTCACCAAACCTGATTCAGCTTCAGATACAATATAAGCTCCTCCATCTGAGGACAGACCTGCTGACCATTAGTTCCCCAGAAGGACTCTTGTTCCCAATATTCAGCAGCACCAGAAGGTTTTTCAAAACTCCTGCATGTAAAGATCAGCAGCAGCTGCAAATACTTAAATGCCAGACAAATCTTGGGGTGGTATCCTTGTTATTAAAGCATGAGTTACATAATTCAGTCATCCTTGTGGCAGTAAAATTAGTGATTAAAACCCCCAAAGGTTTATTGTGCTGCCTGCTCTTGAGCAGATGTTTCCCCTTCTGAACGATGTCATTTCAGTACCAAAAGCAACCTCTCAAGCACAGAGAAAGAGACACTTCCTACCTCCTCCAGGCTTCTGGCTGCCATGGCCAGTAGCCAGCGTCCCTGTGCCACCTTTAACAGAGAGCATCTGCAGAATCCCACATGCTCCGTGAAGACAGAATCCGTCACTGAAGTCCGTCCCTCTGCTAAATCCCACAGGCAGATCCTCTGGTCGCGCCCCTGACTGTTACAGTAAAACAAGTTATCCATGAGCTGCAGTCTGAGGAAGCCTGGCTGCCTGCAGGGCAGTAACTTGAACTGGGTCTTTAACAGACAGTAAAGGACCAAGCTTTGAACAGCTTCTGTGGGGGCGTTAATTGGGTGTTTTATGAAATGTGGGGGAGTTCAGTGTCCCTGAGACCACCACCCTTCTGCCAGTTCTGTGGAACTGGCCAAGAGGTTCAACTGTCCCTGCAAGGGGCGAGTTGATTATATCTGATTCCAGTCAGATACACTGCAATCACAGTTTCTGTTTCCTTGTGCAGAGAGGCTTGGTCAGGCTGAGTTGTGCTATTTAGATGTGAGAATATATTTATAAAGTCTCATGAGCAGTTGAATATATACACAGTAAAAAAATACTTACATTTTATAATTGATTAGACCTAATTTAAAAGGAAACAAAAGTATTCCAAGATTTATACATGTAACACTCATTTGCACTAGCAATGAAATGGAAATGTCATGTGTTGACAGCTGAAAGACAAACAGCAAGACAAGAACTCATCAGAGGTAAATAAAAAGTGACAGTTGTTCAGTGGTCAACTTCTCACAGCCACAGGAGGGCACAGAGGGCAGGTGTGGAGACACAACAGAGAGAGACTGGCAGCGATTGCTCCAGGGCTGCAGCACCCAGGGCCACAGAGCAGCAGCTGCATCCGAGGTACCAGCCCAGGGACTCCTGGGCACAGCCCCATCCCAGAGGCTTTGTGCTGCTCCAGGCAGGCAGAGCCAGGAGGCCACACAAAGGGCACAGCAGGAATTGGTGCAGATTTCTGTGATCCCACTGGCTCTGGAACAAAGTAGCACTGTGCAGAAGCTTCCAATCCAGAAACTACCTTAGCACAGGATATATGTCCTCATGTTATCACCTGGGCAAGGAGCCATCAAAAATCCCTTACCCATGTCTTACTTTAATTAGCAGTATCACCTGAAGAAGCATGAAAGCAAAACAGAGGAGATGTAAACCTACAGGCTGTTGGGACTTCTTCAACATCAGTGCTGTTCAGATGAGTGACAAACTGACAAAACCTTTATAGCACTGCTGACACAAACAGTGTGATACTGCAAGAAATTGCTGTGATTTAGCTTTACAAGAGAGAAATATAAAATACAGATAAATGCTGTCCTAAAACTGCACTGCTATGTGAAGTGTTAGAACTATACAGTAAAAACAGAGGTACAGAAAAACTCCATAATTATACAAACAATGCTCATTCAATATTTTATGGGGGAGACTGTTGATAATTGTACTTAAGCAGATAAGAAATATAAATGCTAATGAGTTCCACTGTATATTATGAGATGTCTTCTCTAGATAAACATGTCAGAACACCTCCTAATCATACAGACACTTTGGCATCTACTCTAGATCACCTGTCTAATCCAAAGTACACAAATCTTCCTGACCTTCCTTTGCTAAACAAGAACAGAAGGTATTTTGCAACAAAGCAAAAGCATGAAACTCAGCATTCTTGCTCATTTTCAGTCTTCCACTCCCCATCTCTGATTCTTCTCTTTCTTCCTTCCCTTTTCTCCATCTCCCCTCTATTTATAAATTCTTTTTTTCAATCTTCCCCAGGAACCACTTCAAATCAACTTCAAATCCAAGTGTATTTCCTTGACCCAAAGACCTCACCTGTTCTTTGTAAAGACACTACAAGTCCCACGTTGTTATGATATCATAATACACATCATAAATAAATTAATTGCATCTTTCCCCCTCCAACCCCCACACTTTTTATTCTAGAGTTTTTCTGTCTTTTTTTACTTCAGTACATTTCCATATGTGTTGGAGAAACTCTAAGTGACTCCAGAATCAAGAGAATCCTTTGTGTCCCTGCCCCTCTTTTTTCCCCTTCAATCACAGACAAGAGACAAGAAAAATGTCACTGTTTTTTGCCTGCTTTGCTAACCTGAGAAGCCTTTCTTTACCACCCATTGTCTTCACACAGCAGACAGATTTTCTTCCATGGCCATCCAATGCTGTGTCCACTCTATGTGTTTTCAGGTTCCAGACATGGATGAACCCATTCTCAGACCTGGCAGTAGGAAGAGATGCTTTTAGTGTGAGCACTGCATGGAGGTGACCAGAGGCTGATGCTTTTCATTTTGTTTGTTTGTTTTGTTTTGTTTCCAAAACTGAAGCTGTATGCACAAGTAACACACCCATCATGCAAAAACACGAATGCTGCTGTTTTCCCCAGAAACACTTTGTCAAAATAATACAATTCAATTCAAAAAGAAACAACCATATGACATTCAGCAGAGCCAGAAATCCTGGTGTATTTACCCAGAGAAAAGAAGGGGGATATCAGGTTCTGGGCCTCCACAGGAAAAATGCAGAGTGTGGACTGCAGCACTGGTACCTCTGAGCACAAACTGTGGGTCCGGAGGGGGCAGAGCCATCGGAGCAGTGAACTGGGGGGTGAGAAGCAGACACAGATATCACAGAGGGTAAAGCAGCCTAGAGTGAAATGACAGCTTTAAATATATTCTGAGCAGGACATTTGCTTCTGCTCTTTCCTCTCAATTTTCTTTGTTGAATGTTCTTCCTATTTGCCAGCCAGCTGAGGGTGAAGTATTTCTCCTAGGATGAGCTGACGAGGCAGGTGTCCAACCTGCTCTTTGGTGCATTCCTCTCCCAGCAAGGTGCTGAGCTGGCCACACGCAGGCACCTCTCACCCACTTGTAAATCCCAAATCGGTCAGCTGCTCTCCCTGTGCTCAAGGGAGATAAATACAAGAAACTTGACACCCATAATTTGAGTGGGCAAGCAATTTATCATTCTGCTTTATCCCCCTGGCCAAGTCTTTCCCCTTCCTCTCCACAAAAATACTACTTTTGTGTTATTTCAGAAAAGCATTGCAGTGAACATATCAACTGAAAAGAATTTCAGATCACAGAATCACAGAATCACTGTGTTGGAAGAGACCTTCAAGATCACTGAGTCCAGCCCACGCCCTCACACCTCAACTAAACCATGGCACCAAGTGCCACATGCAGTCCTTTTTAAACACATGCAGGGATGGTGACTCCACCACCTCCTTGGGCAGACCATTCCAGTAGTTTATCACTCCTTCTGTAAAAAGTTTTTTCCTCATACTCAAACTGTAGGTATAGAAGCAGGGATTACAAGTGACCTTGCCCCTGATAAGTCACAGTTTGTACTAATTACCAAAGAAGAACAGTCTTGTCCTTAATGGGTCATAGCTATGACTAATAAAGATACATGTGATAAAAGGTGTGGGTTGGCTGGTCAGGGAGAGCCTGGAGGAAGAAAGATCACCTTGAGGAGGTAAAGGAGCCCTGAGGAAGAAGGAACGATCCAGAGAGACACACAGAAGAATGAAACAAGGAAGAGAGTTGCTGCTGCAAAAGATCTGCTGTGAGGTCAGTCTGGGTCTGATAGAGTTAGAGCCTCTTGTTGGAGCCTGCAGTCATAGTCAAGCTGGGTAAAAACCTGTGGTAAGAGGCATCAAGGAAGTACTTGTGGTCCTATTCCAGCAGGAAATAGCCAGCAGTCAGTCTGTCAGAGAAGCCAACAGTAGGAATTTGCTGTAGTCAGAGTCAGGGTGGCTAAGCTGTAAAGAAGAATAAACCAGGACCCTTTTCACATTGTTAAATGAGAATCTGTGTTGGCTCATCTCTACCCGTAATGGGAGGTCTGCTGCAACACCTGAGACTAAAATAGGATATCTGAAGGCAACCAATAAAGGAGTAATCTACCTATTATCTGGGCTGCAGCACAAGGGAAAAGGAGAGCAAAGGCCACCCACCTCCTACCTCCAGACTGGAGAGGTAATGAACACTCCCTTACTGGATCTAGTGGTTTATAGGCACAAGAGTAATTTGTGATATAGTCCACCTTGAACTGGGAGTTGGTGGGACAATGATCTGCCAGCCTGATCACCTTCCTGAAAGCATCATAATGAAGATGATCAGGGAGGAAAATCCTTCTTTGATGAAGTGGCTGAAGTACTTGACCAGGAGGCTGGCATTGGTGGCCACAAGCTGAGACACTGGAAGCTGACCAGAGGCCGATGCAGAGGTGGAACTCCAGGTAGTCAAAATCATTGTCCCTGCAACATCCAACCTGTATTTTCCTTGGCTCAGCTTAAGACTGTGTCCTCTTGTTCTGTCAGCTGCTGCCAGGAGGAAGAGACCAACCCCACCTGAGTACAACCACTTTTCAGGAACTTGTAGAAAGTGATAAGGTCACCCCTGAGTCTCCTTTTCTCCAGGCTAAACAGCCCCAGCTCCCTCAGTCGTTCCTCAGAGGGTTTGTGTTCCCAGCCCCTCTCCAGCCTTGTTGCCTCCTCTGGACACGCTTGAGCGTCCCACCAGCTTTCCTAAACTGAGGGGCCAGAACTGGGCACAGCACTTGAGGTGTGCCAAGCACAGGGGCAGAAGGACCTCCCTGCTCCTGCTGGTCACACCATTCCTTATCCAGGCCAGGTCCATTGGCCTTCCTGGCTACCAGGGCACACTGGTGGCTCATGCCAAGTCTGTTGTTGACCAGTACCCCCAGGTCCCTTTCTGCCTGGGCACTGTCCTCCTGGCAGAGGACAATTCCTGATGAGCTCACAGGGACAGCCTGTGTGATCCCCACAGGCACTCACTGCTCTGGCCCCTCACCAGGTATTCCCCTTCACATTAACAGCTTTACAGGCAGCTGTGCACAAACACTGGAGAAGGATGAGGACAAATTTTCTGTTCTGACTTGTTGCAAATGACCCTCCAGACCTGTGCTGAGACAAGGGAACCAGCAGCTGATTCAACTGGAAATATAATTTGCAGTTCATTGGAAAATGCATTACAATGTCCATTACAAGAAATATTTTCACCATAAGAAGTGTTTACTCCCTGATCTGTGGCATTACTAGCCACACTTGTATATCTGCAGCTTCCTTTCTGACCTAACCTCACAAAGAAAAGGGCAGCTTCTGCCACTGCGAGTGCCACCTGTCATCACTTTCTCCCACTCGTATATACCCCAGATTAAATAAAAGGTGTTCAAAATTCAGTAAGGGATGATCAGCAGGTGTTTGCCCACTGGTTCACAGCAGAGGAACTGCACAGAATCAGAATGGAGTGCAAGAGGTACATGTGCCATGGCAAAACAGCCCAACTTTTCATTGCCATCTCACCTCAGTACCAGCTTTCAAACTGTGTTTAAGGGATGCACTTGCTAATGCACCTCATTTGCAGGTCTACATTGAGTGTTTATAGATCAGTTATCACCAAGGTATCTATAGGTTTTAATTAAATGCAATTATCTTTTAGGGCTCGTGATGAAACAGGATTCTTCAGCGTAATGTGCAGTTCTCTCTCAGTAGCACTGTGTAATTAGGTATGAAAATAATGAGCTCAGTGGATACCCTCTGTGTTTTAGGGCCCTGACTCATCTCTTTTATGAAGTTGTTGGATGATCCAGACTCATAGCAGGCTGGAGTACATTTTCAGATGTACATGATGTGCACATTGGCCCCCATGATGAGATGCAGCTCCCAAGTGCCCATGTGCAACATGCTCCACCTGGGTTATAAACCTGTCACACCAAGGACTTTGTCAGCACCTGAAACCTCTTTGGGGCACTACAGCTGAGTGCTGGTGCCCTCAAATCATGGCTTTGTACAATAAAAGAGTAGCTAAGAGCTTGTCAGAGGGTCCCACTTCACAGTGGAGCAATTCTGGCTCACTGCACTGAGCGAGGAAATAGAACTGGGGCAACCCAGAGGCTACCTGGGATTACAAGGCAGGTTTTTAATAGCATTTTTCTAATTACTGACACAGAAGTTTTTGCTGACAGACAGCAAGTGTGTGCGTGGCTGTGGGAAGGGCTTTACCTGGCATGAAACAGACACTACTAATGCATGTCTTTACAAGGATGATATTTCAGAAAAATCCTCAGACCAGTTACAGGAAAAAAAACAACTACTGAAACCATACTTCTGAGCTGCAAGCCATTGAAGGGACTTTTTGCTCCTCAGAGTCTGGTTCTTTCCTTGCTTTTCTGCTAATCCTATATGTGAATCTGGAAATTTGGCTTCATATTGAATCTAATGCTTATTGAGTCCTTATTAGTTCCTATCATGATTTGGCAGATGAATGGCAGGGTGACACTATTTAGTGTCTCATTTTTCTTCCAGCAGGTGCTGAACTATAAAATTTCATCTTTGCTGTCTTTTTTATCCATGAGCTTGGACAAGTCACTTAAGACAAGATTTAATAAAAAGTTGTTAGGTACCTACAGAAAGTCCCTTGAGGTTGCAAAGAGATGGAAATTTGGGGTACTGGTACTTTAATACTTCCAAGAAAGCATCAATCTGTTCCTGCTGACCTACAAGCATGCTCAAAAAAATGACACTTAGCCTGCCTTCAACTCACCAGGTAGCTCAGTGTCTCTACCTTACAGGGATAATGAAGTACATTGTGGTGTACTGATTCAAACAGATAATATTTATACAGTGCTTTGCTAAGCAGACAGCTACAAACTTGCTAAATTTGATGATTGTAAGATGGTTTAAGCCTCTGGGGAAATTTTTCAAAAGTACCTAAGTGATTTAGAAGCCTAAGACTCATTTCCAAATGAATTTTCAATCCTACATCTCTAGGACTTTTTAAAGTTTCACCCCAGGTGTCTAAAATGAGTTCTCTAATTAGCACAACATTTATTTTCTTGTTAACTCTATCTAGCCTCAGGGAGACCAATCTGTTCTTGTTAACTGGGATATCTGCAACAAATTTAATTAAATGAATTTCCTTAGTATTTAGTCTGGTCTAGAGCAAATTCTGGCTCAAGGGCTTGAACAAACAAAATGCAACCTACAGAATAAAGTTCATTTAAAGGCATTTCTGGGCTGTACTGTATGTTTGTCCCTGTGTTGTTATCCTCCTGCCTCCTGTGAAAGGAGTGAAAAGACATGAGTACATGAATCATTCTGCTCGTGGCAGTATTTGCTTGCAAGACAGCATCCCCTGTAAGAGAGGCAACACCTCACCATCAGGCTCTTTGGATTTTTAAAAAAGATGTTTCACTTCTTATTTCTTCCAGCCTTCCCTGCACTGGTAGCAGCAAGGTCCTTCAGGAGCTGAGCTGCACTGATGTGGCACGGACAATGAGAAGGGTTTTTCACAGAGGGCACTGCAAGTCCTCGGGCTCCTGCACAAGTTACATTTCCTACACAAGTGGGGAGTGCAAACCCAGCTGCTCAAATGAGAGTTTCAATTAGTGAATGGCTGAGTGCACTGCACATGAGGTACCAAAAAGGGTTTTGTCTAAGAAAATGCATCTGCTAAATGCCTGAACAATTAAATTTCCTTCAAAATTACATTATTTTAAAGAACAATTCACTATTAATATCCCTCACAAATCTTACTTTGCTTAGGTTGCAATTAGAATAATCCTCAAACCATTT